GATATAGTAAATGGCAAAATGTGGGAGATGTTTAAGGAACCTGTTAGGGTTGACTAGAGAAACAAATTCATAGACAGTCATGTGTGTGTAAGAAAGAGCTTTATATAAAAGAGCAATTTGTATATTGAGAAAACATCCCAGCCCAGTCCAGATCAAGTCCAGAAGTCTGATATTAGCCCATTTGTCTGATACCAATCTATAAAGTCCTCTTGGGACTCACGAAACATGCAATGATGCCGTATGCAGGAAGATCACAGGCAAGTGGGTGGAAAGACTTGTGGATCCAGATGGACTGGTGGATCCATCTCAGCACTGGCAAGGGGTCACTATGTGGCTCCTCCAGCTCCAGGGCACTCGCGTAGCTCCATGTGTCTTCCACAGGAATGTCTCACAGGGAGGGAGTGGGTGTCCTGCCCATAGTGAGCTATTATCTCCTTAGCGTCTCCAAATGAGGTCATCAAGCTGCTACCTGATTGACAGGCTAAATTCTACCCCTTCACTCTTAATAGACTCCAATTGACAACAGGCTATGTAACTACCAAAGAACCCAATGAAATTATTTTCAATCCTTTAATGATTTACTCTTTCTGTTATTGAGTGGATTTTGACTCATAGAAATCCTATAGCACAGGTAGCACTACTCCTGTAACTCTGAGAGAGTAGAAAGCCTCATCTTTCTTCTGTGGAGTGGTTGGTCGTTTTGAATTGCTGATCTTTCGGGTTAGCAGCCCAAGGAATAACCACTATGCTTCCAGGGCTCTTCCCAAAGAATGTTAAAGACATTTTTATTTTAGGTCATCTCATAAGAGCTGCACAGGACAGACATTAAAAGGATAGATTTTTTTAAAGCTGTTTCTGAAGTAGGCTTATTTAGTCAAGAACACAAGTGTAAGTATTTGTGGATACTATGAAGAATTTAGCTGCTGTTTTATGCTTAATATGTTTTTTTTAAAAGGATTTTTGAAAAAATAGCAAGTGACATATTTGGCAAAAATATGACATAAATCCCATTAAAATGAATAGGATTTTGTTTTTGTTTTGTTGTTGATTTCTTTTGATCAACCGAACCAAATTTTATTTTTTTAATTTTAAATAATTTTATTTATTTTATTTTTAAATTGTTTTATTGGGGTTCATACAACTCTTATCACAATACATACGTATACATCAATTGTATAAAGCACATTTGTACATTCATTGCCCTCATCATTCTCAAAATATTTGCTGTCCACTTGAGCCCCTGGCATCAGCTCCTCATTTTTCCCCCT